TATTTATCGAAATATTTTGACCGTTCAGTTATGTCTATATCTGTGCGTGTTGTGTGCTTATTATATGCCCTGCGTTCGTGTGTGTCTGTCATTGTCTTTGGAACAGTTGTGCAATTATTAGCGCACTACGCCATGAATCCGGTGATCGGTCCTGGTCTTCCCCTAGGTCGACTCAGCATCAAATCAGTAACCTGGTGCGGTGTGCAAAAAACATTGCCACTGTGGGGGGACAAAGGCGGTCGGGCGTGGTGTTGGCCACCCACCCCCTCGTGTGCCGCGTTCATAGTTGCTCGCTAACAACATTTGCCCCAACAGTCTGTTATGGCTATACGGGGGGTCTTTGTCTTTATGCGTTATGTATGTAAAGTATGCGAATGAATCTGCGTTCTAGATTTGAGTGTTGCTATGTGTTTATATGTGCGTGCTTATGTGCGTTTGTGTATACTTCTATGTGTGTATGCGTGTGTACTTGCTTTGTCTGTGTGTTGACGTATGTTTGTGTACTTGTGCAAATTTATGCACACGTATTTCATACGCGTCTGCGTTCACGTATGTGCATGCATGTGTATACATTACACTTGTATAGACATGCACGTACAAAGTACACGCACACGGACAAAATGTACACATGTATGCGCACTTGTGTATATGTATAATTTATTTTACGTATGTGTATTTAAGTGTATACATGTAGATACTTAAACACATGTGTGTATATATGTATACGCTTAAACACATACGTGTGGGTGTGTGTTTACGTATATGTGTGTAAGTTTATATATTATCCGTGGAGGTATGTACGTGTGTGTTTATGGATGCGTTGTGGGAAGTGGTGGCGCAATGGTGAGCACACTGCGCCTCGAACCCAGGCCAATAACAGCGACAGCAAATACCTGAGCCGGTCCAGAACCTCTACACGTAGGTCAACTCGGCCTTAAATTTGAGGACCCGGTTCGGTCTTGACGTGACGTTGTCCCAGACACGTGCTCGGTCCGATTGGTTTGCTCGCACGCTCGCGAACAGCACTTGCCCCAACAGTGTTGAACGCTATACGGGGGATCTTTGTCTCTTTGTGTGCACGTGGGTGGACGCATTTAAAAGACGACACAGCTTGCCTGTCCGTCAACAGCAACAGTTGTCCTTCCCCCGCGCCTCCGATGATCACGGTTGGTTACGTACGGTGCGAAAGAAGTTCAGCATGCACACACACATTCATAAAACAGCAGCAGCAGCAACACAAACAAGGTTCATTTTCTGAACTTTATTTTTTTTTCCTTTTTGTTCTGTTTGTAAGCATTCCAAAAAACAGAGAGATAGAGAGAGAGATAGCGAGCGGTTTATCTTCTAATTGTCTGATCCTACGCAACTACAATACGGGGGTCGTAGGAGCCGGGGGGAGATGGTTTTGCAACAACGAATCGTATATATACAATACAACAGATTTTTGCAAACAGTAAAAAGTTACACAGCCTTGTTTGTTTAACTAACGTTCCAAGCGCATAGAGAGAGAGAGAGAGCAATAGAGAAAGAGGCGAGAGAGACGGCACAGCGAGCAGACACAGAAAAAAAATATGAAAATAATAGAGTAATTGTTAAAAACGATTTTTACTCCGCAAGCTTCTGTGTTTTTTTTTCTCTTTTAGCAGTCCCGGCTAGAAGATATGTTCGTCTGGACATTATAGTGCATTTAAGTCTGAAACATTGTGAAAAGTGGAAGAGATTATACGGTGGTGGTGGTGGTGTTGAAGTCGTCATTACGATATTCCTTTGATTACTTGATTTGATCAAATAAAATAACAGACCTTTAAATTATTACGCAACCGGTCAATAACACAATAGATCTCATTTATCCTTTACACGCAATAGCCTTTTGGCTAATTAATACCGTGGTTGCCCGACACGACTTTTGCAGATGTTTATTTTCGTGTGATCAAAAACGCACACAAAATAAACCACACACACTCCGCCCGTAACCGCAACTTTGGGACATCACCGCTGCAACAACAGCGAGCAGCAGTGACGTCACCAAAAGGTGACTTTTTTTCAAAAAAGATCACCCACGTATTGTCGGGTTGTTACCCGCGTGTTAACACCCTCGGCGTAAAAACGTCCGACGCTTCGCTCCAAAGCAGGTTGGAGCGTCTTCAGAAAGAAGGCAGGCACGTGGTGCGAAACGTCGGACGTCGTGCCGAGCAAACACGCGGTAACGATCCGAAAATCGCATCGGACGGCCGCGACCCAGCGCGCGCGTGCGCACAACAACACAACCGCGAAACAAAAACCTTCACGCGCACAAAGTCGTGTCGGACAAACCCAGAGAACACCCACACTACCGTGAGCTGGTGCGAGAAGAGCCGATTTGTATTTTTGTGTTGAGTGGTCAATGTAATTCGGCTGAAGCCAAATCTGTTGCATATTCACGCACACACGTGGCACCTGGGCAAACCCGTGTTGGCCAACTCACATGATCGGCTAATAAGAAAACGTGGTGTGGTTATATATATATGTGTGTGTTCGTGTGTAACGTAACGTTGCTTTTTTGAGAACATTATTTATTTAGAAACAAGTCATTTATAGGGATCTATTAAATAACACTGGATTTACATATAACACTAGCAATAAAATAAAAAAGAATGCCCATTGTTTGACTAAGACGGTATTTGTTGTTGTTGCAAATAAATAGTGGCTTCTCATGCGTGCGTGTGTGACTCTTTATGAAACGTGTCGTTGACCTGTCAGCCCAAGTCGCCACGTGTGTGCGTGCGTGCGTACAGAGAGGCTAACACACCATTTAAAGTTACGATTCTGTCGGCACCGTATTGGCCGAAACCACAATAGTTGTTGTCTTTCATTTCATTGTTCAATTGTACATAATGCAAGCCTATAGCACCTGCGTATACACACACGTGTGTGTATACACAGGGCTGAACCAATCATAGATGCCCCCTCGATCCACCCCTCCCCCAACTGGTTTCTCGCGACTGACTCGCTTTTGCCTCAATTTCAAATCGTAACTATTCTCACCAAGGTGAAGTGGATAGTGTGAGAGCGACGCATCTATCTAGTGGGTGCATCATGTGTTGAGACTGGTGGGAGATATTGTAGAGCTTTGATGTAATAAAAAACACATTATTTTTAAAATCTGTAAATGTCCTGTGTTTATATCGTTATGGCGGGGTATCTATATAAACGATCGCTAATATAACAATAATGTACAATAATATTATTGCGTGTCTACGTGTTCTTATTTAAACGTCAGGTTGGTACGAACGCGAGAAAGACCATTGAACAGCTTGTCCAATCTTGCCTCTATTGTTCTTGGAATGCGGTTATATCATTTGACATCACACACACACACACGTGCAAGCGGCAATGGCCTTAGCGTGCTAGTGGCAATCGAAAAGGCCATTGGCTACGCCGTGGTTTCGTGGACGAAAGCGCGCGCGTGTGTGTATATATTGACGTTACTTTGAAAAAAATTCATATTTGGGATTGTTTTCAGATTTTCAAGGTACAATTCGACGCTATTCATTTTCAAATAACTAACCCGTCATGGAGTTTTAATGACGCTTTTAGCGTCAAGGTGTGCCTACCTGCCTCTGTACTTACGTGTGTACCTATCTACCTGCGCACCTACCCACGTTCCTTCCCATATGCCTACCTACCCATCTGCGTGCCCACCTACCTACCTAACTGCCTCTGTACCTATCTCCCTACCAACCTCCTATTTGAATAAAGCCCTTAGCTGTTAAAAAAACAAAAAAAAACATTAGTTTTCACACACACAAATGTTCGTTAAAATATAAATTTCATATATATTTTAAATTAACATCTGTGCATGCGAGAGGTCTTTATCGGGCAGCGGATTGACAATGGGCCGGACTTCATTGTCTACTTTTATTGCCGTAGAGTAACGCACACTATCCGTGCGTTGTGTCCGCGGGCGTTAAGTGATTTTGAAACGGAGTGATAAAAAATACCCAGCGCTGTTCCAGATGAAGGTGGTATTTTAGCCGTAGAGATGGGCACAGCTTCAGCTATAGGCTTGCAATGTGTACGAGGACGGTATTCAGACACCGTGGGTTGTTGAAGACCGCGTGTAAAGTCTCAGCTCGTATTGTTGATCGATTCGCCTGTTTGTAATTGATTGCATTGATTGATGCGCAATTGATGAGATCACAAACTGTGCTCGCGTTTGAGTATTTAACAATTGTGGTTTTTCTGTTTGTTTTTGTTTACGTGCGAATGAATGAACCGTAAATAAAATGATGTCCAGTGACGTCATACCCCCCAGCCGCACAACACCAATAAACAAACAACAAATAAAAAACCAAAGGATGAAAATATAACGACCCCTCCCCCCCCCCCCAAAAAAAATGTAGAGTTTTGTCTTTCAACAAAAAAATACACTCGATACACACGACAGCACAATACTTCCGTTCCTGTCCACATGCAAAGTTCTCGTAGCACAAAGAAATTACACAAATTTATGTATGTTATGTTTTTTTTACCGTACTGCATAGATAGCAGTGCCAACTTTGGTCAAAAATCAAAATCAATAATAAGCCATAAGCACAGACAGAGTAATAACCAGCGACGTCACCGAAGCAATAACAATGGGAATAAAAACGGTCAAAACAATGTGATTAATGAGAATAAATCTGCGCGACTAATCGTCTCAACAACAACAAATAAACGGGTTCAACAAGCGGCGCTGCTATTTCTTTATTATTCTTATTATAATAGAGGAGCCAAAAAAAAGAATCATCATGAAACAATAACACACGAGGAAAAACTGCATTGCATAAATTGTCCGTATATTTGATACAACAGCAAACGAAATGGAAGACAGAGGCTCAGAGAGAAAATAGTGGGGGGGTGGAGAGGGGGGGGGGTGGAGAGGGGGGGTGAAGTGGGGGGGGGGGGGAAGTGGGGGGGGGGGGGAAGTGGGGGGCAGAATTGGGTAGAGGGACTGGGGTGGGTCATTTTGCCCAACACGAATACTGCGACTCGTTATCTATATAACATTGTGTTTTTTTTACCAAAAGCGTTACACATGAATGCAGATGCGCTTATACAATATACGACCACTAGAAAGAAAAAAATGCTGATACATGTAAATCGTGTAACGAATGACATCACTCGGTTTCTTAAACGTATTTTTTTCCCCGCCGTTTCTTTCAAATTTTTTTTTTAAAACTACATGAAATACAAAGATGTCAGATCTTATCATCATAACAATCGCACGGATAATTCATGCAGCATATTAAGGTGCAGCAATGCATTGTGTAAATTAATATCTCTTTTTTTGTCTTATCACACTTATTTTTGTTAAAGTACGTATCTTTTTTTTCTCAAAAGGCAAGGCACATGATGTGGGTGCGTTTCATTTTTTTTCCTTTAAATTCAATTACCTACTTCGTGCAAATTAAAAAATAGCTTTTTGTTAATCCATCATATAATAGTGCCATTTGCAACGGGAGCCCCAGATTCTATATATCGTACATATATATAAAAAAGGATCAGACAGTTGTGGTTTTCACACACTCCAGTCCTTGCGGCACATCGCCATAACCAATTTACTCCTGTCATTCGAACTATTCGTTACACGCTGCAACGCGCCCGATCGCGATCGTTGTTAAATACGTGACGCACTAAGCAATTAACCCAGTCTGCGTTATTAGAGCCGTTTCAAATTAATATTGGGATATCAGTGTGTGTGTACACATGTTCCGTGTGTATGCGCGTGTGTACACGTGTTCCGCGTGACGCAGGCGGGGTTCATTGCTTAGCGCGTTTCGCCCGACGTGTTCAGCAATCATCCGGCGCGTGCAAGTGAGATAATTTGCATTGTACTGAGTTTACATTGGTAAACGGGGAAAGAGTGAGCGTGGTGGGGATTGCGAGAACTGGGGTGTGGGAAACACACGTGTGTATGTGTATATGCAATATCAACTACAAGTTATATATACGCGCATATATACATTCATACGCATACATATCCATGTGTATGTATGTATAAGTGTGTGTATGTAGTGCAGCGGTTAGCGCGCCGTGCCACTAAACTGGCGACCCGAGTACGATTCCCGCTCACAGCCACCGACACACCAGTGATGATTATTATCTGAACGGGTCATGGGCCTCCTCTAGGTCGACTCGGCCTCAAATTAGTACACTACTTGGTGCGATGTGTGAACATCGCTAGTAGGGATACAAAGGCGGCCGGGGCTGGTGCTAATCACCAACTCCCTCGTGTGCCGTGCCGGCCTTACAAATGTAGTTGCTAACAGCACTTGTCCCAACAGTCTGTTAAAGCAATACGGGGGAATTTTTGTTTGTCTCTGTATATATATAGCTTAGGTGAAAGTGTGGTCAAACTATTATCCAGCAGTGGATTGATTGTATAATTGTACGTAAGGATTATCGTGGTGAGATTTTTCTCCCGGTATTCCGATTTCACTACACACGCTAAATCATTTAATTGGTCAACAATAATTATTTTGAATCAGTAAAAAAGCTTTTCTGTGCAAAACAATATTAATAGTATTTTTAAAATACATTTTCTGGGCATTAAAAAAATTTGATATTGCCATTTATCATAATCGTGACGATAGCCGCAACACGCATACACCTGATTAGCGTACATCAATGCACAGTCCGATCCATTTACAGATATCCCACCGACTGCTAATGGGCCTCTTTCGACTCGACAGGTGATTGCATATTTCTCAAGGATGGCTCCACATTTTACAGAGGCGATCGTTAACACGTTGCATTGAGATTGTTGGGAGACTTGGAGGGGCTTTGTAAAAGAAAAGCAGTCTTATCCATTCTCACCTCTCCGTTATTTCAGCGGGGTATCTATAAATGGCTCGCACCCGGTGTGCATGCGCGCGTGTCTACACACACCTACATACACACACACACCTACATACACATACACACACACCTATAGCGCCTGCGTGCGGCATCTACACGTGCGTAAACGCATGCGCACGGGGCTTAATGTCACATGGAGCTGTTCGGGGCTGATCTCCGGAAAACGACTCCCCTCCCCCGTCGCTGTCTGGGGGGTAGGCACACACACCCCCCATTATTATATATATAGAAACTGAAGCTCTTTGCGGAGAATGGGGGAAGAGAGGGAAGGCGATATGGAAGGTGGAGGAGGGTGCGTCTGACGGGCACTCGGACACGTCAGCCACGCGTCTCCATGGGGAGAGCGCGCGAGTGCGCCGGCTTCAACGCGTGGAGGGAGAGGGCACAGAATATACACGGCGTGGAACTTGCATGCCGTCGGAATTGTCATGTTCAGATGTCGATCAGAGAGCAAGGGCGTTCCATATAGTGGTATCTGGTATCGTTGTTGTGTGTGTGTGGGGTGAGCGGTAGTCTGGCGGTTAGAGCGCTGCGCTACGAACCCGGCGACCCGAGTTCGGATCCAGCTCACAGCCAACGCCCAGTGAGGATTGTCTGAACCGGCCGTGGGCCTCCCCTAGGTCGACTCGGCCTCAAATTAGTACCTGGAGCGGGGTGTAAACATCGCCACTAGGGAGACAAAGGCGGTCGGGCGTGGTGCTGGCCACCCACCCCCTCGTGTACCGTTCCGGCCTTCATAGGTGCTCGCTAACAGCACTTGCCCCTACAGTCTGTTAATGCTATACGGGGGATCTTTGTCTTTGTGGGCAGCGGAAGTGAAGTGAGCTCACGGCCAACAACGGTGACGATTATCGGAACCGGTCGTGGGCCTCTCCTAGATCGACTCGGCCTCAAATGAGCACCTGGGTGGCGATATTTACACCCCCCCCTCCCACGCGCCATCCGGGCTTTCATCGGCGTTCGCTCACCGCACTTGCCCTAACAGTCTGTGCAAGGCTATCTTTGTATACTCGTATGTATATACACTTACTGGTAGTGTGTACACAGTGGATATTTATTATGAAGTGTATATAAATAGTATACATTGTACACGTGTATATGCTTAGATATTTTATTGAAATGTGTAAGCATATATATACGTGTGTATAGCGCTTAAAAACCTGCTACTGTCAGCATGTGTACGCATGTAAGCGCTGCACGTGGTATGCATGCACACATATATATGCATACACAAATATGCATATATATGCGTAAAACCAAAAATGGGATTCCGTTTTGTGGTATATGGGTATGCATAGTTACGTATGTTTTTATACACACACATTTATATATATATCCATGCGTGTGTTTGTCTTTGTAGTGCAACGCAGTTAACTCATGTCTAATCAACACGTTTCGTCTTGTTCGCAATTGTATATGGTGCTACATCATAACGTTACCATTAAACACAATACTTTTTTTTCTAATTGCTCCCGAAGATAGTTAAATATAGTAAAAAAAAACGATTAACGATTTCAGTTAAGGTGCATACAGATAATAACAGTACAATTTAAATATTTGAGTGAATCATCACCAGGGTTTTATATGGTCATTCACTGTGCGCTGTTGTGAACTATGGTACTGCATCGATGAACACACATACATGTATATATGGAACACCCTTGCTACCATCATCATTACTATTATTATTTTGTAGAAGCACTTATTATTTCGTTTGTGTGTGGTTTTTTTTTTACGCGAACACTCCTTTTAAACAGCTTTGCTGCACACCGTAAATTACAGAGAGAGAGAGAGAACGCCAATAATCATCAAGGAATCCCAATAAAATATATGTGTGTGTATATTTTTTTGTTTTAACGAAACGTGTCGTTTCGGCCCCGAATGTACATCTCTCTCCTCTCTCTAAAATAAACTCGCGTAATAGAGCAATAATATACTTGTGTGTATAGCCGGTATCATGTCAAGCCAAAAACAAATGCAAGACCCACAAGGCCATGCACACCCCTTTCTGACCGGCACCCCAATGCCACCACGCACCCCACTCCTGGCTCCCTTGACCCCACGTGAACCACTGGGGTCCCCCACTGCCACCCCGGTACGCCACCCCCCCTCCCAGATTTGTTAGAGTAAACCCCTCCTGTACCCCAATTGGCAATGCCCTCTCGCTCATTTAAATGCGGCCACGTAAGCCCCATCTATTGTTCACGTGCGATCGGCGAGTGGAAAAGGGAGGTGTGGGGGAGAACGGATGGGGGGAGGCGAGGAGGGGTCGGGCATGGGGGGGGGGTCATACACATCTTAAACGCGCCACCGAGAAAAAAATATAACCTATAAAACAACAACAACAAACAACGATAACAACAACGATAGCGATTCTTTCTCTCAGTTCTCCACTTTTCTCAATCCGACAAAGGCAAGCTATATTTAGAACCCCCCCCACCCGCCTATCCCGCCACCGACCCACGTGTTTAGAGTCCCAGGGCTGAAACTGGACTTATACAAAAAATTAAAAAGGAAAAAAAAGTGAAAATTACAAATGTCTCATTTTTTTCTTTAAAAAAAAGACCGCCTCCTCCCTCCCTCCCCCCACCCCCCCAAGCGAAACTTCTCTACAACAGACGCCCGTTTTGTTTTTATTTCCCTACAACAAATCGATTGCACTTTGCCTCTCAAATTAATATTTTTTTCAGTTTTTTCTCGATTTTTGTTTGTTGTTACTCGCTGCTGTTGCCGTGGAAAAAAACAAAAAACAGATATTTTATTTTGTAAATCGTAAGCAAAGGTTGTAATTGGCGGGGTCTTTTTAGAATTTTTGATTCACTGTTTAAATGGGTTGAATAAATACGGCTAACTATTGTTAAGCCATAGTTATTTTGTTTTGCCCGATAGATTCCGGGTTATTCTGGTCACCAAAGTCATGAATCATCGTTATTATTTTTGCATTTATTTAAAAACCATTTTTTTTACGATCTCGTGTGTGTGTGTGTGTAGGGGGTGGGAAGGAAAATTGCATACGTTGAAGCGATGCAACGATGTTAAACTGATCTACTACCACTATCTTAAGTATCGCGTCTATGATGTACTCCAGTAAAAGAATGCCCATTCACGTGCGGAAAAGTCTATTTGCATTAAAACTGAAAAAAGGTTGACTACTGCTACTACCGCTACTGGATGTTGGTTGGTTTCTATCCTACAACACCGTGATGTACGTACATAAGAAGGCCATCGTCACTTGTAATTAGAAAAAAACACCACCATGCATGTTCGGTCGGGTGTCATCGGACGGCCACTCGCAAATGGCTCGACAAAGAATCACATAGTTAAGGCTGACACCCCCCCCCCCTTCTTGATTTTGTCTTGCTCTCACGCACGCTGGTGCGCGTGTGTGTCCGTGCGTGTCCCGTACGCGTTTTTGTGAATCCTGTGAAGTGTTTTACAAGCGAACGCACTTTATAAAATACACGTCTATCGATGACAAAACGACACTAAACAGTAACTGCGTGGTCACATTCAATTCTAGAGCGGGAGGATGGTTTGCGCGTGTGGTGTGTGTGTGTGTGTTTAAACGTACGCGAGTGTGTGCAACTTCAGCTCAAAGGTGAGCGCTACGAATGCGCGCGATTTAAAGTTTGTAAAAACGAGTGCGTTGTTTGAAAAGCGCGACAATTGGAATCTAACCCGGTCTGGAGCGATCGCGACAGTGCCAAAGTCGCAACCAGTATCCCGTGACCGTGCGTCAACACCCACGCAGCTACTGGATAATGCCCCGTCACATCGGCTGAAAAAAAAAGAAACTACTCCTGATGCAATGTAGCGCAAACATTTATATCGTTAATAAGCATCTAACTTTCATAGTAATCATGAAAACAGCATCTTCTGCGTGAAACACCAAAACTGCCGTTCAAGACTCCCCCGAACGAAACTCTCGGATTCAGCTCAAGTTTACGAAAAATGCATTCTTCTGTTTAAAACTGGGCGAGTATGCACCACTGATGGCATCGTGAAATCGTTATATTTCGTCGCTAGACGCACGAACGGTGAATCCAATCCGTTTCTGATGACTGAAACTGCGTTCCGCTGGTTTTCTTTCGTCGAGTATTTTGTTTTTATAAAAAGAAAAAAATTGAGTTTGTTTTTCACGTGCAACTTAGTTTTGCACCTAAAGGTAAAAGCAAAATGGACGCGTATATCTATCGATCTATCCGGTGAGTATGTTTTGTCTTTTTTTTTCCCCCCGTCCCTTGCATGCACAAACGATAAAACCAGCGGTCACACGTCTACACGAGCGAGAGTTGATCCCTTCGATGCGTAATCGGATTCTACTGAAGAAGAATGCATTTTGTGGCGAAGTCCACGACTCTGGTCGGGACGTTATCACCACTTGACGTGATCACGAGGAGGAGGAGGAGAACACAAAAAAAAACAACAGCGTTAATAAGTAAAAATGGGAATAGGCGACTGGCCAGGCGACACAACAACAACCTGAATTCTATTCATCACAGCACCATAACACTAGTGAACTACAACTCTGTTAGAAAACGGTCAGCGGTTGGGAGCGCAGCGGGTCATCGTGGCCATGCAGTTCTTCATGGGAAGAAATCATTTTTAAAAGAACCTCCGCTTTACATCCGAAATCGCAGGGATTCATTTCAAGGGGGTTAGTGACCTGGAGAAAAACACTCCCTGCATCCCCGGCACACCGCGCCGTGGATATCTTCCGGTAGGCCAGGAAAATATTCGGTGAGAGATGAAGGCCCTTGTGTTAGGACCGTGTCACCACTACCCCCTCTCCCCCCCCGGTTTTAATTGTTGGTAAATTTTATTCATATTTATTTATTTTTGTTTGGACTCGTATAAAACGCAAGAGATAGCTCGGAGGAGCGTGTGAGTGTGGGTTTGAAACAAGAGACACACACACACGCGGGCGCACGTGCACTCCAGAACCCCAAGGACACAATTTACATATCTGCGGAGAACACACTGGGTAGATAATTACCCGAAGATGCATTATGGGTATCCTTCCAGCAAATTAAATTCGTTAATTTTAAGCAAAAACATTGGGCAACTCATTATTACTCTTAAAATTGCAATAATAATAAAAATGGTGCTGTTACTATTATTACAAATTGACAATTTGTTAATTCGTTTTAAGCATCGTACAAATGCCTCACTACGTGTTCACGATCAACAGATTACGCTTCACTCACCAGACGTCAGCACACGGACGCGCGCGCGCACGCGTAGTCCGGTGTGCGGTGGCGCCCATCTGCGTGTTCGCAAATCAACGATCAGGGGGCGAGTAACGCCCTGCAAGTGTTGTGTCACACTCACGTGCGGGTGGCTGCTTGGCTTTTAGGTCATGTGACAGGGGGTCCCGGGGTGACCCCCGGGGTGACCCCCCCCACCACCCCACCCACCCCATCACGGGGTCATTTTCACCTCCGGGTTCCCTGGTCGGTGTCTTGCAAGGCCAGAAACTCACTGCCTCCCAACCGCTCGCTCCACAAGAAAAGCAATGAAGTCCGTTTAACGCTGCTGCTGCTGCTGCTGCTGCCGCCGCTGCTGCTGCAACACAAATGTCCGCTGAGGCGACCTGTTCGCACTTTAATCATGCAAGTCTCCAGTTAGTTCCGGATGAGTTCATCTGTACGGTATGTGCGTGCGTGCGTGCGTGTATGGTGCGGCGGGCGGCAGCGCGTGCGTGCGTGCGTGACTGCGCGTTCGTGTTTTGACGTGTCCGTGCGTCGTTCCATTTGTTCAAGTTCTCTTTTAAGTCGTTGCTGTTGATGCGGTTTGTTGTTGTCTTTTTTTTTCTTTTTAAAAATGTTTTGCTCGTTTTTTTTAGTTTTTCCTGGTTTCCGTTGTTGACTTTCTCCTACCCCCATCGATCGAGAATTTGGCGGGAAAAATCGAGGCGTTGCTTTTAGCTGTTTTTATTTTGCCTTCGGTCAGAAGCTTGGGAAATGGTCTGGCGGAGTGCTGCTTGAATGGTGAGGATGGAAAGCTCCGCTTTTCATCCCAAGTACCATGGCTGCTCTCACGACAAAAACAACAACAACAACAAAAGTTCAGAGAGATAAACAACAAAGAAACATTTTTATAGCAGCACAGAATCATCATCATCATTGTCGTCGTCGTCATCATCATCATTGTCAGTGGTTGCAAAATCATCAGAAGCAGCAGTGAGATTTTAATGATGGTGTCCTCATTGTCTTCGACATTGTGGCAATCATGATGATAATAAGCAGGAGCAGCACAACAATAACTGGACTAACTTCGTTCACATCTAACCAGCAGCAGCAGCAGCAGCAGCAGCAGGGCTCTCGATTGTTAACTCGTGCGAGTGTGAAATCATTCAATCTGCCAAACATCGGTCAAACACTCAACCAAACAAGCAACAGACTCGCTCACAAGTAAAAAATCATCTTCATCATCGTCATCGTCGTCATAGTCATCATCATGCTACCATTTAGGTAAATACACGGAGAGGAAAACATAAAAATAATTAGGGGGGACAGCCTTTCCGGTATGAGGACGTTTGCCATTTATGTGCCGCTGATAAATAATATCTCTAAGTCCACGATGTTATTGACGATTGTCCGTTTGCATTAAAATTGAAAAAGTTTTACGACTGCTACTACCGCTACTGGATGTTGGTTGGGTTCTATCCTACGCACCGAGATGTACGCACATAAGAAGGCCATCGTCACTTGCAATTAGAAAAAAAAAACACCGTGCATGTTCGGTCGGGTGTCATCGGACGGCCACTGGGAAATGGCTCGACAAAATATCACGTAGCTAAGGCTGACCCCCCCCCCCCCCTTCTTGATGTTGTCTTGCTCTCATCGTTTTGCTTGAGAGTTGTCGTCGTTTTTATCATTTAAATCCGGACATTTAGGGAAGTAAATTTGCAGCATGCGTCATACCAGACGTCCCCATCCTGAATTGTGTTGGGGGCTTCGTCGTTAGACTGTGCTTGTGCATCACTGGCAAAGCAGAAGTAGCAGCATTGCCAAAAACTTGTGTTTAGATTTAAACAATTTGAACTTTTTTTTTACTAAGGAAGGCCCACTCAGCTATGCAGCTCTTTTTTCAGAAGCGACCTGGCCACAAATGATAGCTCAACGAAGTGGCTTATCGTCATATGGAAATGCCTAGTGGCCAACTACTCTAAACGTGTTACGCTGATTTTAAATGTCGAGGGAAAAACCGGATGACCCGGTGAAAAAATCCATGCGACCACGGGGAGAGAGAACATGCAAACTCCAAATATATAGCAGGCGTCAGGGTAGGGGATCGAAGCCACGACCTCCTGTATACCATGCGAGGCAGTTAACATCTCGCTACTATGGCGCTCCTTAAGTTACGTCTACACGTAGTTCACACCTAACACTTAGACGTAACTAATCACCGATGCTTATTAGCCCAGTGTTAAGAATTTAATCGCCCTTCAAACATAATCTGAGTTACTTACCAACGTGAGCAGCTGAAAAGACTATAATGGCCTAGTGTTCAACACGGTGTGATTTTGGTTTCTATTACATAAATGTTAATTAACTTTTTTTTTGTCAAAGCTTTTCCACAGCACCCCAAACTCTGGCTTACCTGAGTCCAGCTCAGAGATGTGTTCCTATACTTAAAACAGTTGGAAGTTGTTGCATCTTAACACTTGACAACATGTGTGGGCTTTCATTCATATGGCTGATAATTAATTTCTACCGATTAACGCCTCACCCCGTCTACACCACGTCAACAAAACAACTTTAACAGAATCATTTTGACGCGCGTGTGTGCGTGCGCGTGTTTGGGGGGAGCGGTAGTGAAGCAGTTAGCGCGCCGCGCTACCAACCTGCCTACCCGAGTTCGATTCCCGCTCATGGTTAACACCAGTAACGATTAATCTGGACCGGTCCTGGGCCTCCCCTAGGTCGAGTCAGCCTGAAATGAGTATCTGGTGCGGTGTGTCAACATCGCTACTAGGGAGACAAAGGCGGCCGGGCGTGCTGTTGGCCACCCACCCCCTCGTATGCCGTGCCGGCCTTCATAGGTGCTCGCTAACAGCACTTGTCCCAACAGTCTGTTTAGGCTATAGGGGGGATCTTTATCTTTGTCTGGCGGGCAATCAGACCGGTGGGCAGGCTGACAGGCGAGCGAGTGGGTCGGTGGGTTGGTGGGCCGACCCTGCTGGTGGGAAGTTGGGTGGGTGCGGGTTGGCAGGTGGGTTACACAAACACACCGGAGTAGCCCGTGGCTGGAGTTCATCGGACGGACACCAATCCCATTGGCTGGGGAAAGCGAACTGATTTTCGGGGCGAAAAGCCTGGATAATTAATGTCTGTTACTAACCGTAATGTTTTGTCCACGAGATGGCACCATCTTCCCTGTAGCCCTGAGTTGCTGTGTTGGACTGCTGCACAGCAACTGAATTGATATTGAAAACTATGTTTTAGGGCAAAGGTCACATTACAGTTGAAGGCATGCACATCTACAAAACACAGGCGGCGGTATTTCAAACGTTCTAAATAATAAGGGGAAAGAAAATATAAACGGGGTTAATTAAATTTCAGAAATATGCCACCGTAAAGATAAAATAAAACTCATCGTATTTGTCCGTGATACTGCCTTACAACAGAAGGAATATATACATATATATTATAGGCTATACCACTTGCAAGCCCCATGACTAAATTCGCATAGAATTGCACCCAGATCTAGGAAGCTTAGCAAAGTCGACCCCGCATTGTGCTTGGATGGGCTATCGCCATGCATAACAGGTGTTATAGACTGCGTGGCTACAACGTGGGTAGTGCAACACTTTCCATTGCTGCACTGTACTTATATGCGTCAACGTCTGTGCTCTCTGACTTCAAACCCACACAGACGAGAATGTCGAAGTATAGGAAAGTCAAATAAGCCCAATTACCTGAATGGTGTGATGAGTCGCCCATCTTGCATAGGGTTTAAAGAGGGCTGCCCAGGTACAACATGATTAAAGCCCTTCTTCCGTGAACATTCCTTCCAATTTTCCAGCAGTGTTCTAGGCACTACGTGTTGAAAACGTGACCTCTCTCTGTAAGTCAGCCAATATCTGGGCCTGAATGAGGGCCATTGCTTGAAACGTCAGGTAAAAAAAGAAAATTCCTCTTGATGTAAGGTAGCGTTATAGCAAAACATGGCGAATTTTATTTTCAGGTTGCATTGGTACACCCATTGCCAATGCAATAGCCTGAATTTCTTTCATTTGAATAGATTTAGTAATCTATCATCGATGCATAGAAAATAAAAGTACAAAAAAACCCAACAATATTTTTTATTTCAGATTTCGTTTTTGTTCGTTGCACTAATGGCTTTTGAAATATCGGTCGAAAACATTGGCTCAAATGCCTGTTTTCTAAAACATTCTGATGAAACTTTTTTTGTCCGTCCCCCCCTTCTGCACCCGCTAATTATACCCTAAAATTTACGACGCTCGGGCATATGGGATGTCTGCTGTACGGTCTGCGCCACCGCATTACATTCGCCAATAATAGCTAATAGATGAATAACCTGGGCATTCAACATTTACCTGTCAACAATGGAAACTGCAGATGGTCAACGCAGAAGGTGAAGGGGCTGTTTGGCTTACTGAGAGCTGTGAAAACATTCTCCCCGGCGCAAATGAATCGTTTTTGCGACAAATGGGAAATCCGCTTGCATGCCCACGACTCCGTTTGCCCACGGAAAGCAGCCAAGTGCGTGACTGCATTAATATTATCATCATTCCAATTACCGAAAATGTATTCACATTTATAATGATCGCAGCCCCTCTTTAAACGGAACAAAAAAAAAGGGGGTCGTATTTTTTTGGTGCGTGCCACGTGAGAAAAAACTAACGCAAGCCGGGTTTTTGAATGGCTAAAATATATAATAGGGTGGCATATAGTTGAAATTGTGTCCACGTAATGTTCAAATTCGAATAGGTTGATAGAATCAGCCATATGAAGGGAAGCCCACACAAGGTACATTGTGTGTTTTAGCGTAATGCACATGAAACAAGCCGTCTGGCTTTCTCCCCCGCCACGCTAACAGGACAAGCCCAGAGCACGCAACAACAACACAGCAAACAACACAGAGACCACAGCACGGTGCATAATGGATCGTGGTACCAAACGGGCACAATCGATGGGACGCTGACACATCGCTGAAAATTAATCTGAGCGAATAAATAAAAAAATATAAACACACACACACACACGCTCTGAGAACAGTTGTGAGAAAATAATAATAATAATGAAATAACGATAAGCCTCCTCTCCCTGAGAGATGGTGTGCGTGTGTGCTGTTTGCGGCGTTAAAAGCCAGATGCCTGAGGACATGCGTCTGGTCACCTGCTCACCGACCATACCCGCAATTCCCACAGCCTCCCCCCGCACCATCCCTCTGCGCTTTTCCCGACGAACGCTCACGGGCACACGTGGGCCCGGCTCTCCTCCGACCCGCAACCACCGCGCCACATGCACCCCCCGTAATACCCCACCCGCCTGCTCAGCTCGCATGGTCGCTCTCCTTCACTCCCTCCCTCCCTCTCCTCCCCTTCTTCTCCTCCTCGCCAGTGCACCCTCCCCCTCCACCCCCCACTACCCCCCCCCCCCCCCACCGTAGAAACCATCCCTGTCTCGTCCCGTCCTGCTCCGCTTTGAGCCCAGTGTCCCAGAGCCATGTGAGTTGTGCATCTGTTAGGCTGGCGCGAGCCCACCTCAATTCCGTGTGCACACCCGCGAGAGAGAGTGTGAGTGTGTGAGTGTGTGTGTGTAGGGGGTGGTGAGACGGGGAGGGGGAGAGAGAGAGAGAAGAGAGAGCTGGAGAGAGCTAGAGAGAGACACAGAGCAAGAGAGCGAGCATGTGCTGTGTATGTACGGTGAACTTCTTTTGCACCGTACGTAGCCAACCGCGCCCATCGGAGGTGCGTGGGATATTGGAGGCTGAGACCGAGGAAGGTTGAGTCACAAATATGGAGAATGTGGAGAACGCCGCAAGGACAGAACTGGCGGTGAGAATGGCAGGAGACACGGAGGGCACGGCGAGGTTGGAATGACAAAAGCCCGAGAAAGGAAGAGCGAAAGGAAGAGCGGAAGGCAGATGAAGGTGGAGTGGTTCAGAGGCGGTGAGAGATAGGGAGAGGTCAAACATGGATAGAGCAGGCAAGCGTGGACGGATGGAGAGCGAGCGAGAGGGGGGTTTGGTTTGGGAGAGAGAGTGGGAGAGAGAGAGAGAGTGTGAGAGAGCGCTGGGCGGATGGAGGAGAGGAGACGGGATGGTATGGGGTGGGGTTTGGATGGCAAGCATGGGGATAGCAAGTGGAATGCTGTATCGTACAGCTGTTCTATTTTGCGCGCCTTCTGTCGACTTGGCTGCATCATCACACTGACAGCTCCTTGTAAAGCCCCGATATTTATTTATTTGCCGCAGTTTTTTTTTTCTCCTCTCGCTGGTTTCCTTTCTACCTCTGCCACACACGCGCACACACACGCACGCACACACACACGCACGCACACGCACACACACGCACGCAGACACACGCAGACACATGCGCGCACACACACGCACGCACACACACACGCACACACACACACGCACGGGCGCAGCCAGACACACACACGCACACACACGCACGCAGACACACGCAGATACATGCGCGCACACACATGCACGCGCGCAGCCAGAAACACGCACGCTCCCACATGCACATGCATACACATACGCACGCACGCACACACACGCACGCTCCCACACACCCACACGCACGCACACACAAACACACGCTCATGCACGCACACAATCCGGCCACGACAAACCAAGGTGACAAGAAGGTATGCGAAAATGTAACAGATTACCATGCATGAAAAAAATATATATTTTAACAAGCTTAAGGGTTTTTTTTGTGTCTCTGTTGTTCCCTTCTTTGCATCATCTCCACCCTTGAAACCCGGAGACAACAACACGGCATTCTTGTTTGATTAAAACAGCAAATGCTTTCGCGTATTTTCAGCCAGGAATGATAAATCAGCCTTCCGACGGCACATAATATCCCTCCGAGTCTGTTCAAAAGGTTAGAGATACAAAAAAAATATTTCCCCCAAATTCTATATAAAAAAAAAATTTACATTCAGAAGCCAAACAAAATAGCGTTTTAAGGTTAAAAAAAAAAAGAGGAGTGTGTTAAACTGTTCAGGATCCGTCTCGCTGAAAGAAACATCTTTACTAACAGCAGGTTTGCTGTGTGTCTTTCGTGTGCCCACAACAGATTGCAGAGTCTCGGGGCTACAGATGGGCTGTGGGCGGTTTTTGGCGCGAAATAAATAAATAAGTGGGGTGCGTAGGGGCAGGGCGGGCGTAGAAGCAAATAAATAAATAATCAAATTCCGAATTTATAAAAAAAAGAGGGCAATTTGGAAGCAAAGAGCCGCAGCTGTTACTGGATTTGTGTGTGTGTGTTTTTTTTTGCGCCCGTGTTGATTCCGTGGGTTGGTGACATCACCGAGTAAACAAAAAAAACCAAACCACCCCCCCCGTGCCCACACACACACTCGGTAAGGGGGCCGCAGTCAGCTTCACCAAGTAATTGGGACGCGGTGCATTTGCCGTCGTTTTTTGTCTGTTACGCTTTCCCAAGAACGAGGGTTCGGAGAGTGTTAAACGCTTACTGCGAGGTTTTCCCCGTGCGTCTGTCCCGACGGAGAGAGAGGGGCGCGGGATGTACCCTCGATATATGAAGACCGTGTCGATATGAACGAAATTTCAGTTCGTGAAACAAAAAAACAAGGGGGGTCCGCTAGCTATTGAAGGGGTGGGAAAAATATTTTGGCCGAGAGGAAATCGGCCAAGACCGATCAAAGAAATGATCGCGCCGAAAAAACAAAACCTGCGAGATGAGACGAAAAAAACAAAAACCAGCGCTAAAAGCTATCGCGTCGGCCTCCTCGCCCTTCACATCCCACTGACGTCATCACTCGTGACGTCATCACCCGTGACGTCATCACTCTTGACGGCATCACTCGTGACGTCATCCCGTCGGGTGGCCTGAAGAGTTTGCGAGCTGTCGTGTTTGTTTGTGAGTACTGGGAGGGTAATCAAACCACAATAAAGGCCTTTTGTTTAAACCCAACGCTTCACCATGTCGTGGCGGCTGGGGGGAGGGGGTATGGGGGGGTTTGACCATACTTCACCATGCCGGTTTAGCGTGACTTGGCGAAGGCAGCATAGACGTGGCGACCGAGATAATAATTCCTGCGTGACCCCTCTGCTCCCCACCATGTAGCCCACTCTCTCTCTCTGTACTCTCTTATTAATGACTCTCATGCCCTCTCGTTAATTCTCTGTCAAGAGACGGCTAATACTCGAGCCGCCGTGTTCCGTGAAATTACGCCGCTTTTTCTCGGCGG